TTTTTGCCAGTGCTGGAGCCTGAACTCTGGGCCTGGGCACTGTCCCTCAGCTCTTCAGCTCAAGGCTAGCGCTCCACCACTGAGCCACCTTCCCAGCCAGAGCCTCAGGCGTGCAAGGCAAGCGCTCCACCACTGAGCCACCTTCCCAGCCCCATCAATAAATAGTTTTACATGATCTGAGCCACAGAGCCATTGTGCCTTTGTGTCCCTCTCTTATGAATATCCTCCTTTGGTTTCCCTGTGTGTGGATGCCTACAGCCCTATATAACATATCATGTCCTGGTGTATTTTAAATCTGCCTTCCACAAATGAGAAAAAATGTATACCATTTGTCTCTCTGAGTTGGCATCATTCTCATTTAACATGATTTGTTCTAGGTTCCTCCATTTCCCTGCACATGACATAATGTTCCTTTCTGTATAGGTACCGTGTTTTCTAGATCCACTCATCATTGTAGGGCCTCTGGGCTGTTTGTATCACTGGGCTGGTGTGAATACTGCAGCCGTGAGGCATGCTGGCTTGTGAAGTTCTGGGTAGATAGCCCAGGAGTGGTGTGGCTGGGTGTTAGAGAAGACCTCCAGACTGCTGACCAGAGTGGCTGTGGTAGTGTACATTCCCACCAACAGGGCCCCCTTTTCCCTACATCTCCACCAACATTTGTTGTTAGAATTCATGATGTTGGCCAATCTAACTGAGGTGAGGTAGAGTCTCAGTATTGTTTTGATTTGCATTTTCTGTATGGCCAGGGATGATGAGCATTTCCTCCTGTGTGTCTTTGCCATTCTTACATCTTCTTCTTCTTGGCTCTTTTGCCCATTTGGTGATTGGTTTATTGGCTTTGGGCGGGGTTAGACTCTTCTCCTGGTACGTTTGGGATGTTAAGCCTTCGTCAGATGTATTACTTGTAAAGATCTGTCATTTCAGTTTAGTAACTACATCCTTTGCCGTGCAGAAACCACTTCTAGCTTGAGTCGCATTCCTGTCCAGAATGCTGCTTTGAATCGTGATCCTTAACCTCCTGAGTAGGTAGTATTACAGGTGTGAGCCACTGGCATACAGCTCAATGTAACTTTTTTTTTGGGGGGGGGTCTGGTCGTGGGGCCTGAACTCTGGGCCTGGCTGCTGTCCCTGAGCTATTTTGCTCAAGGCTAGCACTGTACCATTTTGAGCCACAGCACAGTGGTTTTCTTGTGGTTACTTGAAGATAAGAGTCTCAGGGACATTCTTGCCCAGGCTGGCTTCAAACGGCAGTCCTCAGATCTAAGCTTCCTGCGTAGCTAGGATTACAGGCATGAGCTATCAGCACTCAGCTAAAAGTAACTTACTATGTTACCGTACTACAGTAAATAGGTATGTGCAATACACACACACACATACGCACACACACACACATGTGGTGCTAAAGATTCATCCAGGACCTCATACATGCTAAGCAAGTGCTCTACGGAGCCAGAGATGGTGGAAGTGCCCTCCACCGTGTGTATGGGCTGAGCACTGCCCCGTGCTTCCTTTTGTGGAGAGGGTGCCCTGTCCCCATTCTCTGTTGCGCCCCCGTGGTCCTGACCGCAGCGCGCTTGCCTGGGGTGTTGCTGGGGCAGCGCACCTGGCTGTGGTGCTTCCCACCCTCCTGCTGGCTTTGTGTAGGCCGCTGCGTCCCTCGGGAAGGTAGAGGCTGTGGGCAAGCGCAGTGTGTGGTCACCACAGTGCGCCTCCAGGCCGTCTCACCCTTCTTGCTGTGTTTTGACCCGTGTCCCAGGAGTGAGGAGCTGGTCTGGAACTTGGGGAGCCTGTCTCTGTAGAACAACACGCAGAGTTAAGTGTTTGGGGACCCATTGCAAAGGCAGCTGCAGCTAGGAGGTGTTCTCTCCTGGGCGGGACTCCCCTGCGTCCCAGGCCAGTGGGTGGGTGTCCATGTCCACAGTCCTGTGCCTCAGCTGTGGGGTTGGTAACAAGGGTCCAGAGTCTGCAGGGGTTTGCAGACCCCAGGCATTTCTCACCCCAGGGAGTTCATGGAACACACCGACCCAGTCAGTAGAGATAGGACTTTATAAAGGATCTTACTGAATTTGGACTTGAAAAGGCCATTAAAAAAAAACAACACAACCCCCCCTTTTTTTTTCAAGTACAAAGGTTGGAAAGGGGATTGAGTTTCTCTTCTGGGGTGGAGGGTCAGTGCCCCAGGGACAGTATGGGGACACCGCGTGGACACAGCAGGGCCTGTGCCCTCCCCTAGGTGGCAGTGTTGGGAGGAGGGCATGGCTTCCGGGAGGGGCGGGCCTGCTCACTGCTGGGTGGGCTGGGAGTGGTCCCAGCACTGTGTGGAGGGAGCCACCTCTGCCATCAGGCTTGGGCGCAGGGCACACGGGTGAGCTCAGCTGTCCCCATTCATCCACGGGGCTCCGTGAGCTTGCCGTAGCTCTCCTGAGCCTAGGCACCAAATGGGGCCTCCTCAGCCCCTGATCTTCCTCCTGCCCACCTCCCTCGCCCTTCCTCCACGGGTGGCCATCCCTCACCCGCCACATCTGCCCAGCACCACCTCACTGGCTGCTGCAGAGGTCACCAAAAGCCATCTCCGTGTACCCCAGCCCTACACCCCAACCCCGAGTGCACCTCTGAACCTGAGAATACTGAGTACTCCAACCCCAAGTGCACCCAACTGCATGTATCCTGACCCCAAGTGCACCCCAACCCCAAGTGTACTCTGACCCTGAGCGCACCCTGACCCCGAGTATACCCTGACCTTGAATGCACCCCAACCCCAAGTGCACCCCAACCCTGAGTGCACCCCGACCCCGTGTGTACCCCAACCCTGAGTGCACCCTGACCCCAGTATACCCTGATCCCGAGTGTACCCCAACCCCAAGTGCACCCTGACCGAGTGCACCCCAATCCCGAGTGCACCCCAACCCTGTGTGTACCCCAACCCCAAGTGTGCTCCGACCCTGAGCGCACCCTGACCCTGAGTATACCCTGACCTTGAATGCACCCCAACCCCGAGTGCACCCCAACCCCGAGTGTACCCTGACCCTGAGTGTACCCCAATCCAAGTGTACCCCAACCCCAAGTATACCCTGATCCTGAGTGTACCCCAACCCCGAGTGCACCCCAACCCTGAGTGCACTCCGATCCCGAGTGTACCCTGACCAGGAGTGCACCCTGACCCCTTGTGTACCCCAACTCCGAGTGCAACCCGACCTGAGTGCACCCCGATCCTTAGTGTACCCCAACCCCAAGTGTACCCCAACCCTGAGTATACCCTGATCTCGAGTGTACCCCAACCCCGAGTGCACCCCAACCCCTTGTGTACCCTGACTCCGAGTGCCCTGAGTGCACCCCGACCTGAGTGCACCCCAATCACAAGTGTACCCCAACCCCAAGTGTACCCCAATCCCAACTGTACTCCAACCCTGAGTGCCCCAAGTGTACCCCAATCCCGAGTGTACCCCAACCCTAAGTGTACCCCAACCCTGAATGCCCAAGTGTACCCCAATCCCGAGTGCACCCCAAAACTGAGCATACCCCAACCCCGAGTGCACCCCAACCTCGACTGTACCCCAACCCCGAGTGCACCCCAATCCCGAGTGTACCCCAACCCCGAGTGCCCCAGTGCACCCCAACCCCTAGTGTATCCCAACCTTGAGTACACCCCAATGCGGAGGGTACCCCAGCCTTGAGTGCACCCCGAGTGCATCCCGACCCTGAGTGTACCCCAACGCCAAATGTCCCCAAACTTTAGTGCACCCCGACTTGAGTGTACCCTGAGTGTCTAACCAGAGGCTGGTGTCTTGCCTCCTCCAGAGGCCTTTCCTTCCCCTCCAGAACCCATCTGATCCCCTGTTGCCCCACCCACCTCACCCCTGCTCTCCGACCTCTGCCCTGCTTTCCAGCTCACGCTGTCCAGTCCGAGCAAGGCCGTAGCCTGCCCTCGTTCCCCCAGCCCCGCTCCCCCCCTCCCCTGCCCCGCCTGTGCTCACCTCCCCCTCACTGGCTCTGCTTCTTTGAGGCATAGTGGGTGCGAGGACCTGGGATCCAGGCCCTGTCCCAGGTCTCTGTGGGAGCTGCCCAGTCCATAGGGGCTTCAGGGCCTGTCTGCCCTGGAGAAGCGCAGGGCAAGCAGCCAGGGTCTCTGCAATGGAGGAGGGTGGAGGAGGGCCGGCAGCTGCGCCACAGGCCAGTGTGAGGTGTCCTCAGGTGAGGTCCCTGTGTGCGACGGACCAGCTCGGCCGGAGCACTGGGACCGACGGGACAGGGATCTCGGGATAGGTGGGCAAGGAGTCGGCGAGGTGACAAACAGACACAGACTCAAAAGAGCTGCATCTGAGTGTGTCTTTATTGAGGAGAATTAACATTTTTATGCAGTGTGTGATTGTGACATAGATTCTTTGTTTATTTAAGCACGTAATCAATTTTTTTAAAAGGCGAAGCATTGATGAATTACATGAAAATTGATGACAGTCCCACCAACTGTTTAAGCTAAGCGGTGCGAAACAAGTCTAGCATATTGTTTAATAGAATGCGTCATCTGTTCAGCCTTTTTATGTTTAATAATTAACCTAAGACAGGGCTGTACTTATATTGTACTCTTTTTATTATTATTTTTATCCAACTAATTTCATCTTTATAAGCTCCTGTATAAGGAAATGGTTCTTGGTTGGTTCAGGAAATATGTTACTAACTTTATATTTTGTGTGAAAACACCATATATTCCCTATAACGTAAGTTGGACTAAACTTAATCATAACTGCTGGGAGAATCTTTCTTTTTCTTTTATAATCAGAGGTCCCTTTTTTTTTTTAAGAACTCTCTGAACTACTGGGATAACTCTTTCTAACTTAGTTTAATTCATTGATTTTATCTGTTGGACATATCTGGAAATTTTAAGTCTCTATATTTACTATGTGTGAGCTGCAAAACCGCTTGTGAAGTTGTAGGAGTTTCTGGAGGCAACGTCACATCAGATGATAGATTGATTGGGGGATTGCCCACATTTAATCTTTGGTCTTAGTCTTTATTACTTAGAGAAGCCGTCTCTGTTGGACTGGAAAGATACAACATGCTCTGTTCGCGGATCAATAGAAAAATAGCCAAAACGAGAATAAAGGCAACGAATGTACAGCCAAGAAGAATATAGTAAGAATAAAGGTAGAGCTGAGGGACAGCGCCCAGGCCCAGAGTTCAGGCCCTACGACCGGACCCCCCCCCAAAAAAAAAGAATAAAGGTAGAGGCTATAAAGGTGCAGCCAAGTGTATGGGAAGCCTTGAGCCAACACCCCCTTCCTGCAGGCATGCTTCCTTGAAGCTCTTTGTCTAACGCCATCTCTCACGCGGAGTGGCATGGATCCTGTGTCCCTCACTGACTGCCCGCCAGACACCTGAACACCAGGCAGCACTGGCCTGGAGGGCTTCGGAGCTTCTGGGACGGGGCCAGCACTGCACTCAGGGCCCAGGGTTGGGGCCTGCTTCAGGAAGTGATCAGCTAGCCTGGGACTCTGGCACACGTACGTGCATTTAGTGAGTTAGGTTTAATTGTTTATAATCACACATATGCTATACATATGCACTTACAGCTCTTGTCTGTAACCAGCTATTCCACTGGCAGTGATGGATGAATAATACTTTTACCACAAAACAAATAATAAGCTCCAGCCCTATTTGTCTCTCTGTGTGTGTGTGTGTGTGTGTGTGTGTGTGTGTGAACAACTTCTCTTCAAAAGAATAACATAAAAGAAAAATAAGTGAAGGAAATATGTCCAGACTTAATTATGACTGTTTTCACTTACAAATAAGTTCCTTTAGAAACTATGGCCAAAAATTCTATGAGAATATGAATTGAGCTGAAGAAAGCAATGGTTGCCAACTGCAGACTCTCCGTGAACATGAAAGGGATACAGACCCAGACATAGGCTCATAGCGATCTCTGCTTCTTACAGCGTGTGCCAGAAGATGAGGCCTATTTCATAGCAAAGGAGATCCTCTCGACAGAGCGGACATACCTGAAGGATTTAGAAGTCATTACTGTGGTATGAAGCCTAAGTGCTTGATTGCTTTTTTTTTTTAATATGTGTTACGTCTAAACACAGACACAAGCCCCCTCCTAAGAAATGCCCCTTGCCACTCAGAAGATACGTATATGTAAATCTTACGTATGTCTGTCTTGAGGCATGATCTATAGCAGGTCACAATGTTGAGGTCCAACTTTTGGCAGAACTGTAAAGCTGAGACTGTGTCCATTTGAAAGTGTTGACCTGAACACATGGTCACCAGGGGGGACAGCTGGCCGGTCCTCCCCACGGTGTGGTCCTGGGCCCGGCGGGGTCTAGCGGAGGCCCTGCCTGCCCTCATGCCCCGCTCCCCACAGTGGTTCCGCAGTGCTGTGGTCAAGGAGGACGCCATGCCTGCAGCCCTCACGACGCTGCTCTTCTCCAACATCGATCCTGTCTACGAGTTCCACAGAGGCTTCCTCCACGAGGTGGAACAGAGGCTGGCACTCTGGTAATGATGCTGTACCCTAGAGGGCTCCCACCCCGACCAGCACACCAGAGGCTCTCCTGCTGGGCCCTCAGTGCTGGCTCCTGTTACCCCAGGTCCCCTCCGCATACAGTAGCGCCCTTGCCCTGGGCCCCTAGGTAGCAGCCCGAGTCACAGCCTGCATATGGCCTCCCCGCCTTGCCGCATCACCCCCTTGAGGAGTTTCCAGCTTCAGGAGAAGCATCATCTCATTCCAGAGTATATAAACAGAGATACAGTGATCTGTTTTATGTTTTATATGTTTAAAATACATTTCAATTATTTGTTGATTTGTTGATTGGTGCCGGTTGAATGGAAGGGTCTGGGAACTGTCCCTGAACTTTTTGCTCAATCACTTGAGCCGTTGCTCCACTTCAGGCACCATCGTTGGATCTCAGCCTCTGGAGCAGCTAGGATTATAGGCCTGAGCCACCAGCGCCCATTTCCCTTCCAGTATATTTTAAAATCATATAGGGAAGGTTAGGAATATAACAGTAAACTTTGTTCGTCATGTTCTAGAAAAGAAAATGAAAGGAGAGAGTTAAAAGAAGGTAAAATCGTCTAGGTATGGTGGTGCACATAGATAATCCCAGCTACTGGAGTGATCACAGCTTAAATTTAGCACGACCCCCATCTCAATCAATAAGCTGGGCACAGCGGCACACTCTTGTCATTCTAGCTACATGGGGGACCTTGGGTAGGAGGAGCATAATCCGAGACTGATCCCCAGCAAAAACATTAGATCCTACCTGAAAAATAGAGCAAACAAGCTAGAGGTGTGGCTCAAGTGCTAGAGCACATGCCTGACAATGCATGAGACCCTGCTTCAGACTTCACCGCTGCCACACACAGAAACAAGAAAGCATGCTGTTTTTTAATGTGGTTACTGTCTTCTTAAGAACATTGACAGCCGGGCGCTGGTGGCTCACGCCTGTAATCCTAGCTACTCAGGAGGCTGAGATCTGAGGATCACGGTTCAAAGCCAGCCCGGGCAGGAGAGACTGTGAGACTCCTATCTCCAGTAAACCACCAGAAAACCGGAAGTGGCGCTGTAGCTCAAGTGGTAGAGCGCTGGCCTTGAGCTGAGGGACAGCGCCCAGGCCCAGAGTTCAAGCCCCACGACCGACAAAAAAAAAAAAAAAAGAACATTGACAGACACATAATTGTTTGTAACACAGAAGCCCTTCTACTTCAAAGCGTTTTGTCACTGATAAAACTGTGACCCCCAGATACAGCAGCTTATGCCTGTAATTCCAGCAGTCAGGAAGTAGACGCATAGGTGGAACCCACAGGCAGCTTAGACTACAGAGCAAGACATTGTTTCAAAACCAGATGACTGCAAGCAGCCGCTCCCGTCAAATCCTGATGCTTTCATGGTTTGTTTTTGTCAGTCATAGGGCTTGAACTTGGGGCCTGAGCACTGTCCCTGAGCAAGACTAGCACTCTACCACTTTGAATCCCAGCTCCACTTACAGTTTTCTGATGGTTTAATTGGAGATGAGAGTCCCCTGGGCTTTCTTTCCTGCCCGGGATGGCTTTGAACTATAGTCTTCAGATCTCAGCCTCCTGTGTAGCGAAGATGACAGGCAGGAGCCACCAGCACCCAGCTCCATGGTTTATTTTTTAAATTTTTATTTTTTGGTTACAGTTACATACATTTCTTTTGGAACAGTGCCATCCTTTCCCTTACTCTCCCAGTTCCCCCCATCCTCACCCACACGTTGTAAGTTCATTTGAGCATAGTGTCTAGTAGTGTCACTGTTCCATGGGTTTTTAACCTTGTTGTTCCTCCACTCCAGGGAAGGGCCCATCAGTGCCCAGGTGAAAGGCGATCACCAGCGAATTGGGGACATCCTGCTCAGAAACATGCGTCAGTTAAAGGTAGGACACATCTGTGTGGTGACGTGGGGCCTCGCACAGAAGTTACAAAAACACACTGTGCTGCTGCTCTTCACATTTCCTCGGTGTGAGCAGAAAGCGCTGCGTAGGATAAAGCCCCTCAGGACAGAGCTTCTCTCAAAATGGCGTTCTCATAGCAGATGTTCCTCAAAACAGATTTCCCCTCAAAGTTCATTTTCCTAGAGCAGCATTCCCCTCAGCATAGCATTTCCCTTAAGATAGCATCTCAGAAAAATAATTCTCCTCAAAACAGAATTTCCTAAAATAGATTTCTTCTTAGACTAGAACTCCCCAGAGCAGATCCCCCAAGCTGCTTCCTCCTCAAAAACAGCAGGATTCCCCAGTACAGAATTCCCTCCAGAACAAGGGTCCCGGGAGTAGAATTCCCCTCCGCACAGTGTTTTCTTCTTAGAGCGCTCAGCACTGTCACTTCCAGGAGATGTTGTCCTCAGAGCGGATTTCCCCGCAGAGTGCCCTTCCTCTCACCGTGCCCCACAGAGCTTCTCACAGAGCTGGGTCGCCTCACACAGTGTTCTCAGAACTCTTCTGCATTTCTCCTCCTCCGCACTGCATTTCCCCGGGGAAAGCACTCCATTGAGGAGTGTGTCCAGGCAGGCAGCCTTCCCCTTAGCTACCTTTTCCCAGAACACCAGTCCCCTCCAAACAGGACTCCTCAAACAGTGCCCTGCCCCAGAAACGTCTTCCTCTAAAAAGAGTATTCATCACAAGATGATGGCTGTTCACTCAGCACAAGGTTCTGCTCAGAACAAAATCTCCTTAAAATAGTATTCCCAAGTCAGGGGCCAGTACCTCATACCTGTCATCCAGGAGGCTGAGATCTGAGGATCGCGGTTCAAAGCCAGCCTGAACAGGAAAGTCTATGAGACTCTTATCTCCAATTAACCACCAAAATGTCAGAAGTGGGACTGTGGCTTAAGCGCTAGAGCAATAGCGATGAGCAAAAAAAGCTCTAGGACTGAGTGCAAAGCACACATGCACATACACGCATGTGTGTGCACGCACACTCACACACAGAGTCTGCCCCACACAGGGTTTCTTGATACAGTATTTCGCTCAAAACTAGGTCCTCCCACTACAGTACTGCTGAGAACAGGTTTCCATCAGCGTTGTTCCTCAGAACCGGCTTCATCTCAGAGTCTCTTTCCCCAGAACAGCATCAGCGTTGTTCCTCAGAACCGGCTTCATCTCAGAGTCTCTTTCCCCTCATAACAGCGTCTCAGCTCATGGTTCCGTCCCCCGAGCATGTGGTTCCTCGAACACCTGGTGTTCCCCCCAGCGCCCGGTTTCCTCAAGCAGAGTCCCCCAGCATGTGGCGCCCCTGAGCATGCAGTTCCCCTCAGAACCAGGACCCCCTAGAACAGGTGGCTCACAGCCAGTTGTGCTCTGTATGACTGACAGGTCCTGAAGAGCACTATTTCTTTTTTCATGACGTTCCTCTCAAAACTCAGGTCTCCTAGATCCAGGTTCTCGCAAACATGATTCCTCATGACAGCCCTCACACTGGGCCTCTCCAGAACCGGGCTTCCTAGACACTGTCCTGTCCGTCCTTCCGGATAGAAGGTTTCAGACCCTGGTTCCCCTCAGGATGCAGTTTTCCAGAACGGAGTTTACAGAACAGGGATCCCCTCACTGTGTTGCCAGAGAATAGCATTTCCTGGAAATGGGCTTCTCCCCGTAGCTAGCGTGGAAGGGTGTGGGCTCGTAGCGCAGGATTTCTTCTTGAGTGTTTAGAGGTCTATGAAGAGAATATTCTAAGAATATGTCAGTGCCATGATGGAGACACCACGGTTCGCACCTGCAGTACTGGCCCCCCCACGGTTCACACCTGCAGTACCGGCCCCACACCCGCAGGACTGGCCCCCCCACGGTTCACACCTGCAGTACCGGCCCCACACCCACAGGACTGGCCCCACACCCGCAGGACTGGCCCCACCACGGTTCACACCTGTAGTACCGGCCCCACACCCGCAGGACTGGCCCCACCACAGTTCACACCCGCAGGACTGGCCCCACCACGGTTCACGCCCGCAATACCAGCCCCACACCTGCAGGACTGGCCCCACACCCGCAGGACTGGCCCCACCACGGTTCACACCCGCAGTACCGGCCCCACACCCGCAAGACTGGCCCCACCACGGTTCACACCCGCAGTACTGGCCCCACACCCACACTGGTATTTTTACCACACAGACCTGGAGCCAGCCTCCCCGGCCCAGGCTGCCCAGAAGTCCACCCTGTGGCAGCCTGGGGCATGGCGGCCACTTGTAGCCCAGGGCACTGCTGAGCCCCATGCTGCATCCCAGCTTCACAGGGCCACGCCCTGCACCCCCAACTCCTGAGGGCCCAGTCAGCTCTGCGGGTCTCGATGGTGCCGACCGGAAGAGCTTCCGGCCTTCTCGGCCCCAGCTGCGCAGAGCCTCTGACTGCCTGTGCTCGTGTTTCAGAAGCCGAGTCATTACAAGGCCCAACTTACACCAAAAGCATTGTCCTAATTTAAAGTAGACATAGACACCAGTCTGTTTAATCCACATAGATTATGTTTAATGTTTGTGGAAATAAATTGATTTAGTCTCGAAACCTAGAATGTAGGGACTAGTGTAGTCCAATATGTCTCTGAGGAATCCATACGTGTGTGCGCTTTGCCGCATCATCATAATGGTGAGGTGATGTGGCCACTTTTCTCTCTCAAGTACACTTAGGATTGAGCAGAGCTTGAAGGGGGTTTGTTTAATCCCTGCGCAGTGCATGCTTACTGAGTCCCATGAGGCAAGCCGTGCTCCTCCTAACCTGTCTCCATTTACAAGAAACGAGGGGGCCCTGTGGCCGGAATCAGAGTGAAGCCCACCATACGCAGATCCCACGGAGGCTGCTTGGCCCTGTTGGACCTGTCGGGATTCGCACTCTGGGAACTGCACTGGCCGCAGGCCGCTTCCCACTGAACCCCCCGGTCTCTTCACCCAAACGCCCTCCCCGCTTCCACAGGGGTTCACCAGTTACTTCCAGAGACACGATGAGGTCCTGATGGAGCTGGAAAAGGCGTCCAAGGGCTGCCGGAAGCTGGAGGCCGTGTATAGGGAGTTTGAGCTCCAGAAGGTCTGCTACCTGCCCCTCAACACATTCCTGCTGAAGCCCGCTCAGCGGCTGGTGCACTACCGCCTGCTGCTCAGCCGGCTGTGTGCTCACCACCCGCCTGGACACCGGGACCACGCCGACTGCTGCGGTGCGTGTGACCACGGCCTGTGCCCTCTGTGCCCTCTGCCTGAGGGGTGGGAGGCTGTGGAGCTAGAGCGCTGGACCTGAGGGCAGGGAAGTGGCAGGCCAGGGCCCCGGGGCAGAACCAGCTTCTGCCCTTCCCTCCCCTCGTCCGGTGGGGAGGACCAGGTCTGCTCCACCGAGTGCCTGTCCTGCCCCCCACCCTCGGGCAAGGACCTTCTTGGCCCCAAATGCCAACAGCATGGAGGACTGATTGCCCTGCACACTTCCAGAGCTAGGCCAGGGCCAGGGGTGCCTGCTGCGGCCCTCTCCCAGGGGACCCGAGTCCTGGGGGTGTCAGTCCAGAAGCCCTGGGCAGGGATCTGTTGGAAGTGTCTGAAACACAAGTGGACTTTCTCTGTTCAGAGTTGTGTTAGAGAAAGTAGTTGAGCCTTTTTAACCTGCAAGTCGGACTTTCAGTTGTAGCATGACGTTAGTACAGAAAACTGCTGCCTGTGAGCAAACGCCACTTTCATAAACAACCTAGGCGAGCAGTCCTGTGGGCATTCCCGTGGGCAGCCCCCGTGGGCAGTCCCGTGGGCAGCTCCCGTGGGCAGCCCCCGTGGGCAGTCCCTTGGCAGTCCCGTGGGCAGTCCCCGTGGGCAGTCCCCGTGGGCATTCCCGTGGGCAGCCCTGTGGCAGTCCCGTGGGCAGTCCCGTGGGCAGCTCCCGTGGGTAGCCCTGTGGCAGTCCCGTGGGCAGTCCCGTGGCAGTCCCGTGGGCAGTCCCGTGGGCAGCCCCATGGCAGTCCTGTGGGCAGTCCCGTGGGCAGCCCCGTGGGCAGTCCTGTGGGTAGATCTGTGGCAGTCCCGTGGGCAGTCCCTTGGGCAGTCCCGTGGGCAGTCCCGTGGGCAGTCCCTTGGCATTCCCTTGGCAGTCCCGTGGGCAGTCCCGTGGGCAGTCCCTTGGCATTCCCTTGGCAGTCCCGTGGACAGTCCCGTGGGCAGCCCCGTGGGCAGTCCTGTGGGTAGATCTGTGGCAGTCCCGTGGGCAGTCCCTTGGGCAGTCCCGTGGGCAGTCCCGTGGGCAGTCCCTTGGCATTCCCTTGGCAGTCCCGTGGGCAGTCCCGTGGGCAGTCCCTTGGCATTCCCTTGGCAGTCCCGTGGACAGCCCCGTGGGCAGTCCCGTGGCAGTCCCGTGGGCAGTCCCGTGGCAGTCCCGTGGGCAGTCCCGTGGGCAGCCCCGTGGGCAGTCCTGTGGGTAGATCTGTGGCAGCCCCGTGGGCAGTCCCGTGGCAGTCCCGTGGGCAGTCCCGTGGCAGTCCCGTGGGCAGTCCCGTGGCAGTCCCGTGGGCAGCCCCGTGGGCAGTCCTGTGGGTAGATCTGTGGCAGCCCCGTGGGCAGCCCCGTGGGCAGTCCCGTGGGCAGAAGGCAGGTGTGGATGGGGGACAGTAGGCAGGGCAGAGGTGGGATGGGGCAGGGGCGGGACGTGGCAGAGGCGGGAGGGGGCAAAGCAGGATTGGGCGGGGCAGGGGCAGGGGTGGGGCAGGGCAGAGGCGAGGCGGAGGGGGCCAGCCAAGCAGCCGCCCTGCCAGGCTGCCGCCCTTGGCATCTGACTTTTGTGTTTTGTCATGGTGATCTATTTCCTGACTCTACAGCTCTGACCTCTGCTCAACTGTAAGATGAGTATTTGCTCCTCTGTTCTAGGGAAAATTGCACTAAAAGGTGCAAAGCATTTATCCTTTAAGGAGCAAATACTGCTCTTCATGTACAGAGCCTGAGCTTCCCCACACCAGACTGTTGGCTGGTTCACAGCCTGGGTTGAACAAAGCTAACGCTGCTGGGGCCAAAGCTTTGAGAGATTTCCGGAGGCTGCAAGCCTGGTCCTGCAGGAGTCTGAGTAGAATGTTGCGATTAAAACCACCCTTTATGCTAGCCTCGAGCAAAAGAAGCTCAAGGACAGTGCCCAGGTCCTTGCCAGGACCAACCTCCCTCCCCACCCCCCAAGAAAAAGCACCCTTTAAAATCTCAGCCAGGTGCCGGTGGCTCACGCCTATAATCCTAGCTACTCAGGAGGATGAGCTCTGAGGATCCCGGTTCAAAGCCAGCCTGGGCAGGAAACTCTGTGAGACTCTTATCTCCAATAAACCACTAGAAAACCGGAAGTGGTTGAGCTGTGGCTCAAGTGGTAGAGCGCTCGCCTTGAGCTGAAGAGTGCGGGGACAGCGCCCAAGCCCAGAGTTCAAGCCCCACGACCGACAAAAACAAAAAACAATAAGATCTCAGCCTCTGCACAAGGCCGGGTGGAGGTCTGAGTGCTTTTCCACACAGATGCCCTGACGGCCATCACAGAGGTGACGTCTGTGCTCCAGCGCAGCCTCGCCCGCATGGAGCACCTGCAGAAGCTGATGGAGCTACAGCGGGACCTGGTGGGCGTCGACAACCTCATTGCTCCCGGCAGGGTGAGTGGCCGTGCGGCAGGGTGAGTGGCCGCGCCGGGGAGAGGTTTCAAGCTGGCGACTTCATTGCTTTGTCTGACTTTTATTCAAAAGCATAAAAATCTCCACACACCACCTGCTTACTTGTGGGGCTTAAACCCAGCTCATGCTTTCTAGGCTGGACCCTACTTTTTTGTTGGTTATTCTGGAAATAAGGTCTAGCAAACTTTTGTGTCCAGCTGGTTTTGAGGTAAAGTTCTCAGACCTCAGCCTCCTGGGTCGCTAGGGTCACAAGTCATGGCAATGACAAAGATGGCGGGGTCAGGTCACACCGCGCCCCTGGCCGGGCCTCTCCCTGCCCCTGCGACCACTGACCCGCGTTGTCTCTGCAGAGTTGCCTGTCCTGGGCATTTCACTGAAATGGGGTTGCAGTGCAGCATCTCCTGTCTGGCACTTGGTTCACACACGCAGCACGCTGCAGTCAGCCAGCCGGAGGCGGCCCAAGCACAGCCCACTTCTCTGTGGCTTCTTTATGTGCACGTCCATCGTGGCACACTAGGTGTTTATCCATTCATCCGCGGTGAACACCTTGTGGAAGTGTAAACGCTCCTGTGTGAGTCTTGTATCCCATGTCTTGTGTATAGACAGAAGAACGGGGCTGTTGGTCACACGGGCGGTCTGTGTGGGCTGGCTCCTCTGCACACGCTGAGTGGTTAGCTGTGGCCCCCCTCTGCGCACACCCCGAGTGGTTAGCTGTGGCTGCCCTCTGCACGCCCCGAGTGGTTAGCTGTGGCTGCCCTCTGCACGCCCCGAGTGGTTAGCTGTGGCCCCCCTCTGCACGCCCTGAGTGGTTAGCTGTGGCTGCCCTCTGCACGCCCCGAGTGGTTAGCTGTGGCTGCCCTCGTGGTGGGAATGAGGCTTCTTATCCTGGTGATATGTCCTCCTAATGGTTCAGGATGTCAAATATTCTTTCATATGGTTATCAGCCTTTTTTTTTTGTCGGTCGTAGGCCTGAACTCAGGACCTGGGCGCTGTCCCTGACTTCTTCAGCTCAAGGCGAGCGCTCTACCACTTGAGCCACAGCGCCACTTCCAGCTTTTTCTGCTTATGTGGTGCTGAGGAATCGAATCAGGGTCTCATGCATGCAAGGCAAGCGCTCTACCACTGAGCCACCTTCTCAGCCCATCAACCATTTGTATGCCTTCTTTGGAAACAAAATGTCTTCGTAAGCCAGGTGCCGGTGGCTCACGCCTGTAATCCTAGCTATTCAGGAGGCTGAGATCTGAGGATCACGGTTCAAAGCCAGCCTGGGCAGGAAAGTCCATGAGACTCTTATCTCCAATAAACCACTCACAAATCTGGAAGTGGCGCTGTGGCTCAAGCACTAGCCTTGAGCTGAAGAGCTGAGGGACAGCGCCCAGACCCTGAGTTCAAACCCCACGACTGACCAAAAAAAAAAAAAAAGTCTACTTAGATCCTTTACTTGCCTTTTATTTAGAATAATGAAGAACCCTTAAAATTCAACAGTAATTAAAAAAAAACACCTTAACAGTAAAAATATAACCTGTTGAGTTTTAAGAGTTTTTTGGTTTTTTTCTGTTTGTTTGTTTTTGCCAATTCTGGGGCTTGAACTCAGGACCTGGGCGCTGTCCCTGAGCTGTTTTTTTGCTCAAGGTTAGTACTCTACTACTTGAGCCACAGCAACACTTCTGACTTTTTCTGTTTAGGTGGTGCTGAGGAATCAACCCAGGGCCTCATGTATGTGAGGCAAGCACTCTACCACTGAGCCACCTTCCCAGCCACCTTAAGAGTTCTTTACCTATCTTGAATATTAGAACCTTTCCAGAAAATGGCCAGGCATGTCGGTATACTTCTATAATCCCAGAAGCCAGGAGGATTGTCTTCAAGGCCAACCTGGGCCACAAACCCTGCTTCAAAAACAATGAGAAGCCAGGTGCTGGTGGCTCACATCTGTAATCCTAGCTGGTCAGGAGACTGACATCTGAGGATCCCAATTTGAAGCTAGCCTGGGCCAGCTAACCAGTCTTGAGCAAAAAAGCTCAGGGACAGTGCCCAGGGTCTGAGTTCAGGCACCAGGAACAGTGCGCGCATGTGCGCACACCTGTGCATGCACACACACACGCATAAGGGCTGGTACAGTGGTTCGTGCATGTAATTCCAGTAGATACTGGGAGTCACAGCGCCACTCCCCGTTTATTGGAGATAAGAATCTCACAGGCTCTCCTGCTCTGACTGGCTTTTAATTGTGATCCTCAGATCTCAGCCTCCTGAGTAGCTAGGATGACAGGCATGAGCCACCAGCGCCTGGCTCACTTTTTTGACTATATCATTTAATTTCAATTATGTCTCAGTTATCCTTAGATGTTTTGCCATAGGTTTCATAGCTAAGAAACCATCACCTATTCCAAGGTGTGAAGCTCCATCCACTTCTTAATCATCGTGTCAACTCTTCCACTTAGATACCTGATGGCTGTTGAGTAGCGTCCACTTCTGTTTTTTTGCCCAAAGATGTTCAGTTGCCCCAGCACTTTTATGGCCTGTCTTATCTCGTTTGATGCTTTTCTTTCTTAAGCTTTGTGTGGGTGCTGAGGCTTGAACTCGGGGCTTCGCAGTCTTGAGCTCGGAGCTTTGCAGTCTTGAGCTCGGGGCCTTGCAGTCTTGAATTCGGGGCCTTGCAGTCTTGAGCTCGGGGCCTCGCAGTCTTGAGCTCGGGGCCTCGCAGTCTTGAGCTCGGGGCCTCGCAGTCTTGAACTCAGGGCTTCGCAGTCTTGAGCTCGGGGCTTTGCAGTCTTGAGCTCGGGGCCTTGCAGTCTTGAATTCGGGGCTTCGCAGTCTTGAACTCGGGGCCTTGCAGTCTTGAACTTGGGGCCTTGCAGTCTTGAACTCGGAGCCTTGCAGTCTTGCGTGACTTTTCTGTGCAAGGCTGGCACACTACCATTGAGCTCTGCCGGTGGCTGGGGTGCCGTGGCAGCCCTGGGTCAGGGAGCCCTGCCTGTGTTTCAGGAGTTCATCCGTGAGGGTTGCCTCCACAAACTTACCAAGAAGGGACTGCAGCAGAGGATGTTCTTTCTGGTAGGTCTCCTGCGTGAGCCCCATTCCCCTTCAGGAGCTGGTTACCGGCAGCCTGTCGGCCTGGACCAGGGCAGCCTGGGAGGTGCGGGGGGGGGGCACGCGGGCCCCAGGGGTGCAGGGGAAGCAGCGGGCCTGCTCCGACTGAGTTCTGGGCAGTTCCAGGCACCAGTGGAAGAGCAGGGTGCTGCAGGGAGAAACCCTCTCGGGTCACAGGGATGTCTGGCAGCCCAGGGGCTACCAGATCCCCGTGCATGGGGCTGGGAGCTGGCTAGCCGGTCCCTTTTCCCCAGTCTGGACCCAGCCGGTTTGCCTGCCCCACAAGGTGACAGCTGACCACACCGTACTGCACTCTTAAGTAGAGTCCGTGAGGCTGGTGGCACCCTGGCCAGCCTGGTCATTTGGCTGCTACCTTAGCTGAAAAGAATTGAGCCATGAAATGAAAGTTTTTTTTCTGCTAAAAACCTCCAGCGAGCTGCATATGCCTGATAACCAGATAAGGGGCCCCCAGAGCCCACCACTGCCTAAGTGTAAGACGTTGAAACGTTCTCCCCTGTTCTTACTATCTACCCCTCAGCTCTCAGACGTGTTGCTGTACACAAGCCAAGGTGTCACAGGGACCGGCCGCTTCCGGATCCGGGGCCTCCTCCCACTCCGAGGCATGCTGGTGAGTGCACCATGGTCTGGCCTGGGGCACGGTGGCCGCATCCTCACAGAGTGACAAAGCTGAACCTCAACTGTGAGGTTCTAAAAGCACCAACTGCACTGGACGCTGGTGGCTTCCACCTGCAACCCTTGTCACTCAGAAGGAAGCCAGCCTGGCCAGGAAAATCCACAAGACTCTTATCACCAATAAACCACTCAAAAGAGCCGGAAGAGGGCTGGGAAGGTGGCTCAGTGGTAGAGCTCTTGCCTTGCATGCATGAGGCCCTGGGTTCGATTCCTCAGCACCACATAAGCAAAATGAAAAAAGCCGGAAGTGGTGCTGTGACTCAAATGGTAAAGTGCTAGCCTTGAGCTGAAGAGCTGAGGGACAGCGCCCAGGCCCAGAGTTCAGGCCCCACAACCAGACCCCCCCCCCAAAAAAAAGCCAGAAGAGCACTGTGGCTCAAGTGGTAGAGCACTCACTTTGAGCAAAAGCAGCTCAGAAACAGTGCCTAGGCCCAGAGTTCAAGCCCTCAGACTGGCAAAATAGACTTTCATAGAAGAAGGTACCTGTTGAGGACCACCTGGGACCAAAGCCTTCCAGGCTCCCCCCAGGCTGCCTCATCACCAGTCGCTTCCCGGCTCTGTTGGAGCTATGCACCCTGTCTGTGGCGTCTCTCATGCAGTACAGGTGCGTGGTGATGAGTGGTGAGGGACTGGACACTGGACACCTGTGGCTGGCCGTCAGACTAGCTTTTCAAGACTGTAAACCATAAGCCTTGGCCCCCACGTCCTCAGGCCCGCCCCACCGCCCCCACGTGGGCACTTGACTCCCCGCTCACATGGTGGCACCACCCAGCCACCCACTAGCGGTCTGAGTTGTGTGGAGCCTGGGAAGCGCGTCGCCTCCCGCCTGTGGGCGCTCAGGGAGGCGGAGTGGCCCTGGCAGCAGTCATTTGGTGTGTCTGTCACTAGATCTCATGAGCCTCAGCTTTGTGCATAGCTGTAACACCTTTGTGAGTAAAACTGCTACCACTCTGACAGGTTGCAAGTTCTTTTTCCAGGAGTAAATGCCTTCTTTATCTGTAGTTTGGTTTTGTGGCAAACTTAGATCTCTCTCTGTGGGCTGCTTATTCTGTTCTGGAGGGGTATCTGGCACTCACTGTTAAAGGAGTCTGCTTGTTCTGTTCTGGAGGGGTATCTGGAACTCACTGTTAAAGGAGTCTGCTTGTTCTGTTCTGGAGGGGTATCTGGCACTCGCTGTTAAAGGAGTGGTTTGGGTGTCAGAGGTGCTCACACCTCCTCCGGGGCTCACACCTCCTCTGGGGCTTCGCGGAACTGCCGAGGACATGGCAGGTGTTACTAGATGGCTGTGTGACACGGATCTGTCCTTCGCTGACTCCTCCTTCTCTCACTGTTCTCAAAGACAACTTCCACCTTCCATCTTGGCTCCCGGGTGTCCCCAGAGCTGGACAGTCCACACTGACCGGGGAGTTGCCATGGGCTGGGGGAATACATCCCCCCATCCATCTTCCCTCTTACATTGTTCTTCGCTATTTTGCAGCATGGAAGGAAACTTTGGAGTCAGGTAAACAAATGTCTTCCAAAACACTTTGAGGTTTCAACTGAATTCACATTAAAGTTACATACAGACTCAGGAGACTTTGCTCTGTCCGGTGTGATGCAGTGTTTGGCCTCCTGGGGGCCGGGCACAGGGCCTCCATTCTCTGGCTGCCTGAAGGCTGCGGGCCTGCAGCCAGAGGATGGAGCATCTCTGCCTGAGAAAGACTTAATCGTGTTAGGCCTCGGTTTCTGTATCCGAGGTACTGACGGTCAGGAACGATGGAGGAGCCAGCTCTCAGCCACGGTGCTCTCAGCACGCACAGAAATGGGTTTTTTCTTTGGCTTCTAGCAGGATGAATTGTTTTCACCATCTCCCTGAATTCTCCTATCCTAGGACAGCTGTTGAGGATGCTCTTAGGTTTGATTTGGTCCTATTTAGTTTTGGAACTCTTACATCTGTGATGGCTTTGTGTGTGTGTGTGTGTGTGTGAGAGAGAGAGAGAGAGAGAGAGACTAGTAACAAAAATGCTCAATCTTTCCTCCTTTGCTTGGTTTTCAGCTAATAGTGCTGGACCCACCGGTGAGTACCCGGCGTCTGCCTGGAGCCCGCGCTCCCGGCGGCCGTTGTCGTGTAGGGACACGGTCCGTTCCCCGTAGTCACGCAGGCTTGGACAGCACAGGGCTTCCAAGCTGGCTGCACCTAGTATGGCTGGCAGTCACCTAGTGCTGTGCCTGAGGTTTTGGGACCTTCACCTCTGCTCTCACCCTAGGTAGAAGAAAGTGAAAGCGAGTGGTCTGTTCCTCACTGCTTCACCATCTACGCAGTTCAGAAAACGATGGTGGTGGCCGCCAGGTACGCCTCAGCGCCCCCACGCATCCCTCCCTTGTACCCAGAGCCTCCTGGGACCCAGCTCTGCAGGGGGCTTCCTGTCCTCTCCGTGGCCAGGCAGGAGCGCTCACTGACCTCTAGAGTATCCACAAGTCAGCACGGTGCTGCACCCTGGGGCCCTTGTTGCTTGACAAGCACAGGGCCAGCCAGCAGGCTGTGTGATTTACCCCCCACAGATGGTGCCTCTGGCCCTCCAGGCAAGAGCCCCTGGGGGCGCAGCGGGCCTCCCCCTCCCGTGCACTGTGCTCTTTAGGGACAAGGCTTGCAGTGGCCAGCCCCGCTGACTGCTCACGGGTCCTCCTCCAGGAAGTGGACGGAGGCACTGCTCCAGCGTTGGTCCTGCTCTCCCAGCCGTTTTTCCCCTCCTGCTGACCCAGGCATGGCCTCTGGGGCCCTCCCTGCTTGTGCTGGAGGGGCCATTGTAATGGGCCTTAGGACCAGGGTATAGGCCACAGCCCTGGGCCTGGGAGAGCTGTGACCCCAGCCCCCCTCCCCGCCCCCACCTTGCCTCACAGCACCCAACTAGAGAAGGAGAAGTGGACACAAGACCTGAGTACAGCCATCCAAGCAGCTGAGAGCAGCAGCAACCCACCACCAGAACTGGCCAGAGGCCCCACATGCACCCACACCCCCAGTGAGTGGCTGGGCACGCCTGCGGGTCCCTGGCCCCCACGGGAGCATACCTAGGAATGGTCAGCTTGCTCGGTGCCCACACCTGGTGACGGGGCACCTCCCCCTCACAGCTCTGGCAGAAGTACCAAGTGCTGCTGGCTGTGGTGGCAGGGGGCGGGAACGGGGTGGGGTCAAATGCCAACTCCCCACAGGATCCTCCGACGAGCTCTCTCTGGAGCAGGAGTCAGAAGAGGATGCCCCATGCACCCGAGGATCCCTGGAGGGGCCAGGCCAACACCGGACCAACACCACAATGCATGTGTGCTGGTACCGGAACACAAGTGTGTCTAGGGCGGACCACAGTGCAGCTGTTGAGGTATGCCCCTCTGATTCCCTGACCCTGTGCTGGCTGTGGGCAGGGCTGACCCAGCATGGTCCCAGCTGGCTGGGCTAAACCAGAGCAAAGAGCCATCAGCTCCTGCCACAGAAGAAACTGGTCTGCAAGGTCTCCCGCAGCTGCTGTGCACATCAGGTGCCCTTTGGGAAAAGCCCAGGGCTCTGCCTGCTAGCAACTGGCCCCCATTCATGTGCTGCCTGTCAGGGGGACCAGAGGCCCTGCATATACTGAGCTTTGCCCAGAGATCCCAAGAGTACTGTCAGCTGTCAGGTGGGACCAGAGACACCGTGTGTGCACTGTCAGCTGTCAGGTAGGACCAGAGACACCGTGTGTACTGTCAGCTGTCAGGTGGGACAGAGACACCATGTGTGCTGTCAGCTGTCAGGTGGGACAGAGACACCGTGTGTGCTGTCAGCTGTCAGGTGGGACAGAGACACCGTGTGTGCTGTCAGCTGTCAGGTGGGACAGAGACACCGTGTGTGCTGTCAGCTGTCACCTTGGACCAGAGACACCGTGTGTGCTGTCAGCTGTCAGGTGGGACAGAGACACCGTGTGTACTGTCAGCTGTCAGGTGGGACCAGAGACACTGTGTGTGCTGTCAGCTGTCAGATGGGACAGAGACACCGTGTGTGCTGTCAGCTGTCACCTCGGACCAGAGACCCCGTGTGTACTGTCAGCTGTCACCTCGGACCACAGACACCGTGTGTACTGTCAGCTGTCAGGTGGGACAGAGACACCGTGTGTGCTGTCAGCTGTCAGGTGGGGACAGAGACACCGTGTGTGCTGTCAGCTGTCAGGTGGGACAGAGACACCATGTGTGCTGTCAGCTGTCAGGTGGGACAGAGACACCGTGTGTGCTGTCAGCTGTAGGTGGGGACAGAGACACCGTGTGTACTGTCAGCTGTCAGGTGGGACAGAGACACCGTGTGTGCTGTCAGCTGTCAGGTGGGGACAGAGACACCGTGTGTGCTGTCAGCTGTCAGGTGGGACCAGAGACACCGTGTGTACTGTCAGCTGTCAGGTGGGACCAGAGACACCGTGTGTGCACTGTCAGCTGTCAGGTAGGACCAGAGACACCGTGTGTACTGTCAGCTGTCAGGTGGGACAGAGACACCATGTGTGCTGTCAGCTGTCAGGTGGGACAGAGACACCGTGTGTGCTGTCAGCTGTCAGTGGGACAGAGACACCGTGTGTACTGTCAGCTGTCAGGTGGGACAGAGACACTGTGTGTGCTGTCAGCTGTCAGGTGGGACAGAGACACCGTGTGTGCTGTCAGCTGTCAGGTGGGGACAGAGACACCGTGTGTACTGTCAGCTGTCAGGTGGGACAGAGACACCGTGTGTGCTGTCAGCTGTCAGGTGGGACAGAGACACCGTGTGTGCTGTCAGCTGTCAGGTAGGACAGAGACACCGTGTGTGCTGTCAGCTGTCAGGTGGGGACAGAGACACCGTGTGTACTGTCAGCTGTCAGGTGGGACCAGAGACACCGTGTGTGCTGTCAGCTGTCAGGTGGGACAGAGACACCGTGTGTTCAGCTGTCAGGTGGGACAGAGACACCGTGTGTGCTGTCAGCTGTCACCTCGGACCAGAGACCCCGTGTGCACTGTCAGCTGTCACCTCGGACCAGAGACCCAGGATCCTGTTCTCTTGGGTGCTCCCGCCACCTTGGCGTGTTCCCAGCTCTCCACCTCCGCTCTGGACTCTACCCACGCTCTCACCCTGTGTGTTGCTCAGTGGCTGCTCTGCTACCCATCTGCCTTTGCAGGACTTTGGAGGCCCTTCCCAGGCCTGCTCTCCCTCTCTGCTGCAAACTTCTGTCTCCTAACTCCATAGGGCCAGGACCCAGGGAATGAGGAGCCCATGTGGTTCCTGACAGTTCGGGATACCTAAGGATCACAGCCAGGCCCTCCTGGGGTCAGGCCGCTCAGTAGAATAGGCCCCCAACAGGCATCTGCAGTGGGAAGGTGAAAGAGTTTTGCCCATCATTTGAAAGAACCTTCCAGACCCCACTGTGTCATCTCTTCAGACTCCTTATCTTCTTGCTTTCCAGCAAGTTTGTAATCCTAGCTCCTTAGGAAGTTGAGATCTGAGCACTGCAGTCCAAGCAGAAAAGGCCAACCAGCAAAGAGCTAGAAGTGGAGCAGAGGCTGAAGTGGTAGAGCACTAGTCCTGAGTAAAAGAGCTCAAGGACGTTCAACTAAAGTAACTAAAGCATCCTCCTCTAGTGTCCCTAGACTTACCATGGTACTGAAGACAGGTGGGAAACAGCTTTACCCAGAGCACTTTTGTCTTTTATTCACAGAACCAACTTTCAGGATATCTGCTGAGAAAGTTCAAGAACAGCAATGGCTGGCAGAAGCTCTGGGTAGTCTTCACCAACTTCTGCTTGTTCTTCTACAAAACCCACCAGGTGCGTGCACCAGGAGCCCGAGCACAATGCTGAAGGACAAAACGTTCTGGAAGTCAGGCTCACCACCCCCACCCAGCCCCTTCTAAGTGGAGAGCGGTCCTCCTGTGCAAGCTGCGGCTTTGCCCTCCCCAACGCCCCTGTGCATGAATTTATGCCTGCTTCCAGGATGACTACCCCCTTGCCAGTCTCCCGCTGCTGGGTTACAGTGTGAGTGTCCCTAAAGAAGAGGACAGCATCCACAAAGACTACGTCTTCAAGCTTCAGTTCAAGTCTCATGTCTACTTCTTCCGAGCCGAGAGCAAGTACACATTTGAGAGGTGATTCTGCAGGGGACAGCCCAATCCGAGCAGTGCCTCTCCGGGTTCTAGAGCAAGGACTGAGTGATGGGTACAGGTTTCCAGCTGACCACTGCCCTGTCCTTTCTGTGCTATCATTCTGGATCATTCTTGGGAAGATAGGTGAGTGTAAGTTCACTGGTCTGACGGCCTGACTGCTTTTGCAGGTGGATGGAGGTGATTGAGAGGGCCAGCAGCTCACGGGGAAGGCCCCCAAGCTCCACGCAAGACTGCCTGTGTCCCTCCCCAGGACTGCAGGGGACAGCCAGAGAAAAGGAGTGACGCGCCTGACCAGGACGGGGGCTACCAGGAGGGCCCAGGGCATGAAGTGACCCCGCTTCAGACACTCAGGGCATGGGTCCACATCGCTTCAGACAAGCCCTGAAGCCTGTACCCAGGCTGTGCGGTGAGTCCCACTGCCTGCGACTTCTGAGGGAACTCCTGCCCAGAGCCTCGTAGCCTGGCCTACAGAAAGATGAGAGTCCAGCAACAGCTACTCTGGACCCCACCAGCATAACCAGAGGTTAAGACCCAAGTCCCCTGTGACCTAGAAGGGCAGTGTCTCCACCCTGTCAGCCCCAGTGCTCCTTGCCGGAAGTGTGCGCTTACAACTGCACTTATGTAAGTTACAATAAACCACCTCAGCTGGGGGCTGTGGCCACACCGGGAATCCTAGCTGCTCTGGAGGCTGAGATCTCAGGATCCCTGTTCAGAGCCAGCCTGGGATGGGAAAGTCTATGAGACTCTTATCTCCAATGAATCACCAGAAAACCAGAAGTGGCACTGTGGCTCAACACAGTAGAGTGCTAGCTTTGAGCAAGAGCTCAGGGACACCAAGTTCAAGCCCCACAGCCAACAAAATAAACCACCTCCCCATCTGCGTCCTCTTCTGCCATTTTGTTCTCCAGCAGGCCTCAGGGAACATGAAGCATGGAAGGCAGGCTGCAGGGGCTGGGGGTCCCAGGGAAGGTCCTAGGCTGCAGGAAGGCCACCTGGCCAGGCCCACACGAGCACATCCAATCCAGGTCTTTATTTAAAATGGGGGGACCTTCAGTGCTCTATGAAAACTAACACTTTACCCCTCAGAACACTTGAGAGTAAGTTCAAATTGCTTAAAAAACCAAACATTCTGGATGACTTGAGTACCCATGAGAAGAGGAAGCCTCTGGCCCCACACCCAGGACGTGGCCGGGCCAGCGTGGACCCTTGGGAGAAAGCCCCCAGGGCTGGGGGACGGCCCTGGAGAGCTGCTCTGCCCCCGGGCCTGGCAGCCAGGCAGGCCGGGTCCAGAGGGCATGGCCTGCACTGGAGAGAAGGCTGTGAGGGCCAGGGCCCCTGAGTGGCTACCTTGTTCTCCATGGGCTCTCTGCCAGAGGTGCTGCTTCAGCCAAGCCAGGAGAGTAGACATGGGCGGGCGGCTGCCGCAGGGGGCGGCACGCTACAAGGGGACAGGAAGGAGACCTGCGTGAGGTCTGCCGGCCGGCCGGGCTGCTCTCTGCAGTCAGTAAGGGAGCGCCCAGGTCAGCAAGGTCCTTTCCGAGCTCCAAACAAAACCCTTTCTTTCTCCTCCTCGCTCAGCGGGCGACGCTCAGCGGGCTGCCGTCAGGTGGTTCCTGCTGTGTGAGAACCTGCAGAACCAGCTTGTCAGCGTGTGGCCTGGACGTGCGCCTCGGCAGCCATCATGGCCCCCGCCCCCCCCCCCCCCCCCCCCCCCCCCGTGTCCCCAGGGGAGGGGTCTCCCTGGGTCTCAGGCGCAGCACTGCCCTAGCCCGGACATGGGAACCCAAGCCCTCGGGGCTGCTGGAGCGGCTCCATGCTGCCCCCACGTCCCCGGGTGACTCAGGTTTGCACGGCCAGCTTGCCAACCCCTCAAGCTGCTTACACGAGCGCAGGTCAAGGCTCTGCTGCTCACAGCTCAAAACCAGGGGCAGAGCCCAAAGGCCCAAATGGGAGAAGACGCTTCTGCCCCTGCAGGGCAGCCACGGCAGGAAGGCGCTGCCTCGTCCTCGCGCCCCGACGCTCACCTCTGCACGCGCTCCACCAGGTGCACCATCAGCTGGTCTGAGATGCCGGGGCAGGACTCCTCTGCCAGGCTGAAGGCGTTCTCCAGCTCCTCCAGGGCACCCACGCTCCCACCACTCTGCTTGTGCTTTTCTTTGAGCTGCAGAGAGAAACTCTATCTGAACGGGCCTTCCCTGAGACTCCAGTCCAGGAAGCCAGTGAGGCAGATGGGTGGTGGCAATGCACAGGCCGCGTGCCCCACCCTGATGGTGGGCACCTGCGTGTCCCTTCCATCTCAAGGTGACCCGCCTCTGCTCCTCATTTAGTCTCCTCACAATGGAGGCTCAGGTCAGCAGCCGGGCTAGGGTCTGACGATTCCAAGTGCACTGCAGATCTCATGTGAGGCCTGGGCTCGCAGCAACCTCTCCCGGGGGCTATGACCCTGTCCCTAGGCAGTTGCCAGGGACCCGTGCCCACGGCCCAGCCGGGCTCCGTGCCATCCTGGGGGAGGCTCTGCCACCTCCATACTGCTGACACTCCACATGGCGGGGGGGGGGGAGGGAATGCAGGAGAAGGGGGGGTTTCACTGGCGGCCTCCTATTTTGGGAGATGGCTCTAACTCCCACCAGCACAAGATGTGGATACGAGGTCCTATGACCACCTGAACTGACGCTCTTCCTTCCCCAGAGAGTCATGCAGTATGCTTATACTTTGAGGAAGAAAATTCACAGGTCTTAATTCCAATTCAAAAGCCACGTGGAAGCTGAGAACCGCAGCAGGTCTAGAAACACAAAAAGGGTCCCGTGGAGAGCAAAGCCACCCCCACATGACCCGGCACAGCCCCGCCCTCACCTCTCCGAAGACAGGCCGGACAAGCGTGGCCAGGCACTGGGACCTCGGCTGTCTCTTGACGGGCTCGGTGGGCTGTAAGGTGGAAATGGAGGCACCAGGTGAGACTGGGACCGGGGCTTCTTCCCACTCCCTTCCGGCCTCCTTGAGCAGAGGGTCAGGACGCTGCCAAGGGACGGGTTTCTGAAGTAAAATGCAGCCCGAGTGGCTGGAGCCAAGGGCCTGCACCCGCCCCAGGGTGTTCTCAACAGCTGGGCCCAGCCGGGACGAACCTTCTGGGAGCCATGCAGGGCCGTCCCCTTGTGGAGCTTGCCGTGCGGACTGGGCCGGATGGTCGGGGGAAACGTCCAGATGGGGCCCTGCTCTCCGTCCTCAGCCTCGCCGTCGCTGAAGGGGGTGATGAATTAGGAGCCGGTGGGGACGCTGGGGTGGGGGAGGGGGTGGCTGATTTGTCTGGGAGGCAGCCTCACAAGCCAGGAGGCTCTGAACTTGATGGGGGCCCGCCTGGGCTGCAGTGTCCAGTGACAGCACTGCAGGTCCTGTCCCTGCCACCCACATCCAAGTACCCAGGAGCTGGGGGGGGGGGAGTCAGAGGAGAGGAGGCCCCTGAGGACAAGCAGGCACCCTACATGTCGGAGTCCTCGGAGCTGGACTCCTCTCCATGGCCCTCAGACTTCCAGCGCTTGTAGCGGTCGATGAGCTCGGTGAGGAAGGAGGTCTTCTTGGTGTAGCGTGTGATGAATTTGTGCTTCAAGAGTTCCTTGGCGGTGGGCCGCTGCCAGGGCAGGAAACAGAAGAGTCACACAACAGTCACCAGGTGCCAGACACAGCAGCGTGGACTGCAGGAGGGGCCCAGAGAGGCTGGGGAGGAACGTAGAGTCAGGGAGGGCGGGCGCAGGAGGTGACTGGGTGGCTGCACCTCTTGACCTTGTCCCCTCCTAGCCGGCGGCCACCACCCACAAGCTCCCAGACCCAGCCTGCCTCAGCTGTGCGGGGGGGTGGGGGGGCTTACGAATCGGGGGTCCTTGTTGAGACAGGCCTCCACAAACTCCTTGAAGGCTCTGCTGTGGTGGCCCTCCAGGGTGGGGGGGCTGTTCTTGGGAATCAGGAACAGGACGCGCATAGGGTGGAGGTCAGAGTTGGGCGGCTCCCCCTTGGCCAGCTCAATGGCGGTGATGCCCAGAGACCAGATATCAGCCTGGAGGAGGCGCCACACAGGACACTGCCGCAGCTGCCGGAGCCACGGACCACCTTCCCGCCTCCCACCCCAAGAACCTACTTTGAAGTCGTAGGCGGACTGCTTGATAACCTCAGGAGCCATCCAGAACGGGGTGCCCACAAATGTGTTTCTCTTGATCTGTGTATCTGTGAGCTGCCCAGCCACCCCGAAGTCGGCCAGCTTCACATCACCCTGCTCTGAGAGCAGCACGTTGGCAGCTGTTCAACACAGGAAGGCGGGCAGGCGTCACCCTCCGCCCGGCCTCTGGGGGCCTGCCCGAGGCTGCGTGTGCCCATGGCAGCTCCCGGGCCCCCTGGGGCCTGGCAGGCAGAAGTCACAAACTAGAGGACCGCCCCCCCCCCGGCCCTCCTACCTGAGCCGCAGGGACTCTCTGCATTTGGCTTTTGTGGCAAATACCAACAGAATGACCTCACCATGACCTGACCCAATGGTCATTGCCCCCCCTCCCAGTACCTCACGGGGGCAGGAGGCTGGGCGCCGCGTCCCTCACGGGGGTAGGACACCTCAGCCAGTCCTCCCCAAGCCCTGGTGACCAAGCTAACTTCTGTGATTGAAGCTGGCCTGGCCCTAAACCAGGTACGTGGCTGGTTGCTCTGTTAATGGGTTTAGGAGTCTAGGACAGTCCTGCTAGGTGGGGTAAAGTATGCTTTGCTGGTAGAGCAACTTGCCTAGCATGTACAAACCCCTTGGAGTCTAGCCCAAGCACCACAGGGGAAGAGCTGCTATTGGGGGTATCATCTGGAATCAGATCAGCATGGACTGCCCCATCCATGGGTCACTGCAGGACGCCCACCCCAACAGCCGCTCCCTCCCACTGCCCACACCAGGGTCAGTGGGGGCCGTGCCCACCCCGCAGGACCTTTGATATCTCGGTGGATCTTGCGCTCTGAATGCAGGTAGTCCAAACCCTTCAGAATCTCCCGCAGGATGGTAGCAATGTACGTCTCCTCCAGAGGGCCTGGTTTCAGCTGGAGGAAGAGGGCAGGGCAGAGCCTCAGCCACACCTGAACATCCCCAGTGCCGGAGCTCCACGGCTGTCAGCAGCAGAGGGGATCCTCAAAGGCTGGTGCACGCCTGCTAGGCTGGCGTTCTATCATCTGAGCCATGCCTCTAATCCTACTTGTTGCTGGTTATTTTAGAGATGGATTCTAGTGAACTTTCCATCCTCCAGCTCTCAGCCTCCTGAGTAGCTAGGATTATAGGTGTGAGCCACCAGTACCCAGTCTCCTTTAAGTACTTCTGAAGTAAAATTCAGTGTGGGTGGCCCGCCAGGAGGTGGGCCTAGTGGAATGGGGGATGGCAAAGCTGTAGGATCCCAGCCACACATCAGAGCTCTCCCCAAGCACACCACCCGCCTGGGGACCCAAGCAGAGGCCAGACACCTCTCAGCACCAATCAGCACAATGACTATGGACGTGGTGTGGGTTAGGCACTTCCTGTTGATGACTGACGTACTCAGACTAGAGGTTTCCAAGGATCTGCGGGGAAGGGCATCCTTGGATGGGCACGACCACTCCCCCCAAGCAAGCTGTCCATGCTGCAGCACAACTCACCAGGTCCAGCGCAGAGCCGCCCCCCAGGTACTCCATGATGATCCATAGCTTGGTGCTCTGAGAGCAGAGAAAGCTGTCAGCACCCAGCTGTGACGTCCACAGGCCACTGGCCCAAACAGGAAAGGACTCAGGTGGTCACACCAGACTCCTTTCCACCATACCCCCACTGCATGCGTGTGCTGGATACAGAGTGCTCAGAACAGTGAACGGTCCGTCAAAACCAAGCTGGAGACTCAGTCCACAGAACCCAGGCAAAATCATAGCCGTGTAACACAGCCACACACCCAGGGCCTACCCTGTCGCCAGCACCTCCCAGAGCAGAGCCTGCTCGGCTGGGACGCCGTGGCAAGGCCGCCTGCCCTCCAGAGGTGCCCCATGCACCTACCCCGAGGAGCCTGAGACTCTCTCCACCCTCCCGCACAGACCCCCCCCCGCCCCCACCACCCCTTTAGGTGGGAGCCTGAGGCCTCCTCAGC